GGCCACGAACCGCCCGTAGACCTGTGGTGGTGGAGAGGGGAGAGGGGGGGAAGTGTTGTTAGTTATTTTGGGAGGGGGGGTGTTGGAGAGGGGAGAGGGGGGAAGGTGTGTTAGTTATTTGGGGGAGGGGGGGGTGTGGTGTTTATTTGGGGAGAGGAGGGGAAGATGTGGTGTTTATTTTGGGGAGGGAGGGGAAGATGTGTTGTTTATTTTTGGGAGAGGAGGGGAAGATGTGTTGTTTATTTGGGGGAGGGGGATGTGGTGTTTATATTGGGGAGAGAGGGGAAGATGTGTTGTTTATTTTTGGGAGAGGGGAGAGGAGGGGAAGGTGTGTTATTTATTTGGAGAGGGGAAGATGTGTTTATTTGGGGAGAGGGGAGAGGAGGGGGAGATGTGTTGTTTATTTGGAGGAGGGGAAGGTGTTGTTGTATTTTGGGGAGAGGGGAAGGTGTATTTTTTTTTTTGGAGGAGGGGAAGATGTGGTGTTGGAGAGAGGAGGGGGAGATGTGTTGTTTATTTTGGAGGAGGGGAAGATGTGTTATCTATTTGGAGGAGGGGAAGGTGTGTTGTTGGAGAGGGGAGAGGAGGGGAAGATGCGTTGTTTATTTTGGGGAGAGGGGGGGGGAATGGTGTGATGTTTGTGTGTGTTGGTAGATGGAGAGGTAGATAGGTATGGGGCTAGATTGATGGATATTCAGACAGATAGATATAAAAAGATAATATATTTATATACATAGCAGCGAGAGCGGCGCCCTCCCTCACCTGCACGGGCGTCTGCTGGTAGCGCACGGAGCACGCCCCCGAGTACGAGGACGCGGACGCGGGCGGCGCGGCGGGGTCCTCCTGCGGCGCCAGGGCGAGGTCCTCGTCGCTGGCAGCTCCTCCTCCGGCGGGCATCTTGAGCGCGAAGGCCCCGGGGGAGGCGGGGTCGGGGGCGCGCCACCCCCTCACCTGCGAGAGCTTGGTGTCCCCGACGTGCACGGTGAGGGGCAGCTCGGGCATCCACACGGTGAAGGAGGCGACGCCGGGTCTCTCGCCGTATCGGGCGATGACCGTCGCGTTGTGGCTCCCGCGCACCTCCGAGCCGTCCATGTAGACCGAGGTGCAGGAGGCGGAGACCTGCGGGGGCGTGGAGGGGTTAGAACTCGTGGGCGGGAGTGGGGAAGGCGTGGGCGTGGAGGGGTTAGAACTCGTGGGCGGAGTGGGAGGCGTGGGCGTGGAGGGGTTAGAACTCGTGGGGAAGGAGTGGGCGTGGAGGGGTTAGAACTCGAGGGGAAGGCGTGGGCGTGGATGGGTTAGAACTCGTGAGCGGGAGTGGGGAAGGCGTGGGCGTGAGGGTTAGAACGTGGGGAAGGCGTGGGCGTGGAGGGGTTAGAACTCGTGGGGGAAGGCGTGGGCGCGGAGGGGTTAGAACTCGTGGGCGGGAGTGGGAAGGCTTGGGCGTGAGAGGGTTAGAACTCGTGGGGAAGGCGTGGGCGTGGAGGGTTAGAATCGTGGGGAAGGCGTGGGCGCGGAGGTTTAGAACTCGTGGGCGGGAGTGGGGAAGGCTTGGGCGTGGAGGGGTTAGAACTCGTGGGGAAGGCGTGGGCGTGGAGGGGTTAGAACTCGTGGGGAAGGCGTGGGCGTGGAGGGTTAGAACTCGTGGGGAAGGCGTGGGCGCGGAGGGTTTAGAAAACTCGTGGGCGGGAGTGGGGAAGGCTTGGGCGTGGAGGGGTTAGAACTCGTGGGGAAGGCGTGGGCGTGGAGGGGTTTAGAACTCCGTGGGGAGGCGTGGGCGTGGAGGGGTTAGAACTCGTGGGGAAGGCGTGGGCGTGGAGGGGTTAGAACTCGTGGGGAAGGCGTGGGCGCGGAGGGTTTAGAACTCGTGGGCGGGAGTGGGCGGCTTGGGCGTGGAGGGGTTAGAACTCGTGGGGAAGGCGTGGGCGTGGAGGGGTTAGAATAGTCGTAGGGGAAGGCGTGGGCGTGGAGGTGTTAGAACTCGTGGGGAAGGCGTGGGCGTGGAGGGGTTAGAACTCGTGGGGAAGGCGTGGGCGCGGAGGGTTTAGAACTCGTGGGCGGGATGTGGGAAGGCGTGGGCGTGGAGGGGTTAGAACTCGTGGGAAGGCGTGGGCGCGGGGGTTTAGAAACTCGTGGGCGGAGAGTGGGGAAGGTGTGGGCGTGGAGGGGTTAGAACTCGTGGGGGAAGGCGTGGGCGTGGAGGTTAGAACTCGTGGGGAAGGTGGGGCGTGGAGGGGTTAGAACTCGTGGGAAGGCGTGGGCGTGGAGGGTTAGAACTCGTGGGGAAGGCGTGGGCGCGAGGGTTTAGAACTTCGTGGCGGAGAGGGGAAGGCTGGGCGTGGAGGGGTTAGAAACTCGTGGGAAGGGTGGGCGTGGAGGGTTAGAACTCGTGGGGAAGGCGTGGGCGCGAGGTTTAGAACTCGTGGGCGGGAGTGGGAAGGCGTGGGCGTGGAGGGGTTAGAACTCGTGGGGAAGGCGTGGGCGCGGAGGGTTTAGAACTCGTGGGCGGGAGTGGGGGAGGTGTGGGCGTGGAGGGGTTAGAACTCGTGGGGAAGGCGTGGGCGTGGAGGGGTTAGAACTCGTGGGAAGGCGTGGCGTGGAGGGTTAGAACTCGTGGGAAGGCGTGGGCGTGGAGGGGTTAGAACTCGTGGGGAAGGCGGTGGGCGCGGAGGGTTTTAGACTCGTGGGCGGGAGTGGGGAGGCTTGGGCGTGGAGGGGTTAGAACTCGTGGGGAGGCGTGGCGTGGAGGGTTAGAACTCGTGGGAAGGCGTGGGCGTGGAGGGTTAGAACTCGTGGGAAGGCGTGGGCGTGGAGGGGTTAGAACTCGTGGGGAAGGCGTGGGCGCGGAGGGTTTAGAACTCGTGGGCGGGAGTGGGAAGGCGTGGGCGTGGAGGGGTTAGAACTCGTGGGGAAGCGCGTGGGCGCGGAGGTTTAGAACTCGTGGCGGGAGTGGGGAAGGCGTGGGCGCGGAGGGGTTAGAAACTCGTGGGAAGGTGTGGGCGTGATGGTTCGAATTCGTGGGGCGGGAGTGGGGAAGGCGTGGGCGCGGAGGGTTAGAACTCGTGGGGAAGGTGTGGGCGTGGATGGGTTAGAAACTCGTGGGCGGGAGTGGGTGAAGGCTGGGCGAGCGGAGGGTTAGAAACGGTGGGGAAGGCGTGGGCGTGGAGGGGTTAGAACTCGTGGGGAAGGCGTGGCGTGGAGGGGTTAGAACTCGTGGGAAGGCGTGGGCGTGGAGGGTTAGAACTCGTGGGGAAGGCGTGGGCGTGGAGGGGTTAGAACTCGTGGGGAAGGCGTGGGCGTGGAGGGGTTAGAACTCGTGGGGAAGGCGTGGGCGCGGAGGGTTTAGAACTCGTGGGCGGAATGGGGAAGGCTTGGGCGTGGAGGGGTTAGAACTCGTGGGGAAGGCGTGGGCGTGAGGGGTTAGAACTCGTGGGAAGGCGTGGGCGGGAGGGTTTAGAACTCGTGGGAAAGGCGTGGGCGTGGAGGGGTTAGAACTCGTGGGGAAGGCGTGGGCGTGGAGGGGTTAGAACTGCGTGGGAAGGCGTGGGCGTGGAGGGGTTAGAACTCGTGGGGGCGTGGGCGTGGAGGGGTTAAACTCGTGGGGAAGGCGTGGGCGTGGAGGGGTTAGAACTCGTGGGGAAGGCGTGGGCTGGAGGGGTTAGAACTCGTGGGGGAAGGTGTGGGCTAGGGAAGGCGTGGAGAGGTTAGAAATCCGTGGGGAAAGGCGTGGGCGTGGAGGGGCTAGAACTCGTGGGAAGGCGTGGGCGTGAGGGGTTAGAACTCGAGGGGAAGGTGGAGGAAATAACGGGGAGTATCGCGAGCATAGAATTGTTTATAACAGTCCCTCCTCCTCATCTGTCATAGAAAACGAGATCCATTTACGCGCGTGACGTCACACTGCCCACGCTTTTTGTTAAATATTTCTTACTTTACGGGTCTTTTAAGAATTTTATGATGAAGGGGGATTTTCAAACCTTGTTTTTTTTTGTTTTTTGTTAATACAATTGGAAAATTCTGGAACAAACTCAACAAATACACAGGAAGGAGACTTACCCTGTTTGAAAATATATACTGAAATTACGATTAATTTGAGAAGAAAGACAAAGATAGATAAATAAATGAATAAATAATTAATAATATACTTATCTTGAACTATCTCATCAGTGGAGAAAAAAAGTGTAAATCTCTTTAGATATGATGTGGAAAAACTTCCATATGCGAGCACATACGCGCATACACAAACATCTACACACATACATATACATTTGCACGCACTAACAGACCGACACACACCGACAACAGACACAAAACAAACACAGAGACACGCACACACAATAACACCACATACACACAAACACACATAAAGACATACATCCACAAACACATTCAACCACACAAACATAAACACACACACACATACACACACACACCCGACCACACCACAACCACATACCCCTAAACCTCAACCACATAAGCATTTTATCAACAACAAATCCTCCATAAATCCTATCTTATCCTGAGATGCTTCTACCGTCATGGCGGGCAATTAATTCTTACAAGCGGCCACACGAAATCCTGAATGTGTGTCACCAACGATAAATTGAACTTAATTCTACTAACTCATTTCTTCATTGTAATAATGCACTAAATTATATATTTAGTGCCTTATATATTTAATAATTATGTATTTAAAAA